TGGTCCAAAACAAAAATCTAACTACACAGTGTTGTTGAAGGTGGTTACCCAACCATGAAAATATACTTCTTTAGTGTACTGTTACCATAGTAACCAATATATGCCACGCCCGAAGGGAAAAAATGGGTCAATTTTCAAACATGATAACTAGGTGAGAATTAATGATAGAAGTCTAAAATAACTTTTATTTTGTTAGTTACAATAGTGTCTAGGGAATGAACTAGAATCATTGCCTTACTGCATATAGAACAACTATTATCAGAATTTGTCCTACCAAACACAAAAAATGCGGAAACATGCATCACCGAAACAGTGATAACTCCTTGAAAATGCAGCAGAACTCAATTATTCTAGTTCATTCCCTGGAACATGATATGCACTGGCAACTCTGAAAATTTGATCAGGATACCTTTAATAGTTTTTGAGATATCATGCATAAAAATTGAGCAATCGGACCATTTTTACAAATTGAGAAAAACAGCTTTAAAGTTTACGGTTTAAGTTAGTTCAGCAGTGGAAGCTAATACAAAGCAGTAAATGACATTTTTACTTTTTAAAACAATCCTGCCATATAGGTGGTGCCTTAATTCCTGCTATCACTATCACTAAAATACTCTGTATATTGTAATTTGTGTGTCGCTTCACTACATTCAAAGATTCGCTTCGCTCCCTCGCTCTCCATTGACGGTGCTGAACTTGCATAGTTTGCCTTGTATTTCCCAATATGGTCAGCTTTATGCAATGCCTTTTTTCGTCATCTGTCTCTCTATCAATCCTTTGGCAGGTATGACATACCTTACACGAAATCTCGACATCTTGGCATTTACCCGCGTTATCATTGAAATGGTAGTGACTTGACCATTTAATGACGAACATCCCCGTCTTTGCCAAGTTCCGTCACAGTAAACACCGCACTGGAGAACTTCGTCATCACTGTTATTGTCATGGTGTAACTCCTTACCAGCATTCCCCATCACATCAGTAGCCACAGTCTTGGCTGCTTTCAACAAGGTATCATTACAAGCTGAATAAGCAGAAGGTTTCGGTGGTGGGGGAATATTCATTAGGGAACAGCAACGTCTCACAGAAGCTTCTCCTTGTCCAATGGCAATGCTTTCTCATTGCATAGACAAGTCTTCTGTTTACATAAAAAAAGTTTGACTTTTTTATGTAAAAATGTATAAACCCAGCCACATTTATCACAACACAGCCGAAGATGAGAAGCACAACCTATTCTTTCCCAAGGATCATCTTTAACACTAAGACTATAGATTCTCCACATAACTTACAATGACACTTGCTGCTAAAGTTCATTCAGTTATTACACATCAATGAAACGATAAGCAATTATTTTAGGCTCTTCATCTTCGGAACTGCTACTGGTAGCATCAAAGCTACAAGACTGACCTATTTTTCTCGCTGAAGCAGAGAGATTAGCAACCGACTCACTGGAAACTCACTGGTTGCTCAATACTGTCAACACAAATTTTCTCTGCATATCATTTACGTGTCGATTCCCATGGAATTTTCTCTTTCCCCTTCACGATTTTTCCCTTAATACCACTGTCAAAAGACGATTAGTCCACAAAGAGAAGTAAATTCGGCGAAAAATCACAAATACAGCGACCAAAAGTTATTAAAAATTTCACTTTTTCGACACAAATATGGCTTCGAATTTTGATTTGAAAAATAATGAAAAGACTGACCAGCGGTAGCAAAGCTAAAATGGGAATACTTCAATACAGTATACTTGAAAGGGACGGGTAAAAACTGTTCTAAATATAAATTATTCAAACCTAGAAAAGAGGCAGATATCTGGTTGCTAGGGGCGTTGCTAAGTGTAAATTTATCGAATTTGCTAAAATTTCAGGGTTTTTAGGTATTTTTGAGCAATGAAATGATACAAATATGATTAAGTAGGGTTTAAAGTTTTTCGTCTGTATAAAGTTTTTCGTCTTAAAGTCTGTATTTTTTCCAATTTTGAAAAATGGCAAATTTCACTCAAAACACCACTTTGCGTTGTGTAAGACCACCTTATTAAGATCATATAGTCAGAACTGCAAAACTATATATAATAAGATTGATTGTAAGCCAGTAGAATTATTTCATATTATGGTATTAACAATGGACATATCTCATATATATATATATATATATATATATATATATATATATATATATATATATATATATATATATATATATATATATATATATATATATATATATATATATATATATAAGATATAAGATAAACGTTTATAAGATAATATCTTATAAACGCCCTGCTCTCACGCAACTCGTGTTCTCGTCTGACACTTTTGACATTTAGTTAAGAAAATTCTCATGCAAATTCTCGCTTGTCAACTCTCATCCTCGTTTGACTGGAGCTTAAAGCTGTCTAAAAAGGCGGTCCTAGCCTGCGAACAGGCTCACTGGGAGAAAGGTGAGCCTGCACGGAACCATGCGTTTTATTCAATCATCCCCTTTTCGCATCTGCTAAACGCGAACCAATCAGCGTCGACTGCGATAAATAAACTGTCAAATTGACGCAAGGCGTGTACATTGTGCAGCGAAGAAATACTGAATATTAAAATGTATACATAATGTATAGCCTATATGAACAATAATACAAAGCATTAGCGGGCCGCACAATATATTACTCGGAAAAATATAGAATTCTTCAAATATTAAATAGATATCAATACACATACAAATATAAAGCCGAATAAAATACTACCATTGGCATTGAATGTACAGTAATACTTGTACTATGTGCGACTGAAAGAACAATGTTCTGAATATTTTGAAGCTATTACTAAAATACGGTCAGATAGATTGGGATTTGGAATACCGAATACGTTTAAAATTTTACTAACTGTGGTCTAAATAAATGATAAATGAGCATGTATTTATTAATTTCTTCGAAATCACGAGTGTGCCAATAGTGGAAGCCGCATCGACGACGAAATTGTCAGCAGTTAATATACAGCAAATAGTACAACGTTTAATGTACGATATATATTTATCTAAATGACATGCCAGCGAGGATCAACAATATAATTATTCGTACATATTTGGGTATCTTTTGTATGCCTTCGCATTCTGACTTGCTCACTAATGAGAATAATCCGTGAAGCCACGACGACCTCAAAATGTACTATACCGGCTATAGTCTGATGTCAATCCGAAGACGAAGTTCAGAATACTGTTATAGTTTCGTGTATTGGATTTAAGCGATAGATTCAAGTCATTTATGATAGACTTTTTTGCTGTGATGCTTTGCTATTGCTTTTGGTCTCCACTTCTAGTTTTATTTGTTCGATAGTCCTATAATATATAATATTAAAATGAATAAAGTTCAAATTCTTCAAAATTCTGTTGTTGACATTTGCTATTTTTAGTAATTTTGTCAACGAGTGTAAGCCAATCAGAAGCCTGCGTTTCTATACGAACGCCACTACCAAGAAAACCTATCATCCGTGCAGGCCCTCTATTCTTCGCGCCGCCCGCAACCCAGGGCCTGTTCGCAGGCTAAATTCTCTATATCATTCTCAACCAGTGTTCTCAACCTTATTCAATAATTGTTCAATATTACGTTGACCGAAATTGGGTTATTTCTGAATTCTGGGTTAACCAGGACGTTTAACCAGAGTGTTTTTGAGAGAGTGTGGCGCCAAGTCGAGGTTAATAAGTAGTTTATTATATGTCATTTTGAAATATATGTTCTCCTGGCTAATCGGTATACTCGTTTAAAACTTCGCTTGCTTCAATTTAATCGATTTTTCATTTTGCTAATGAGGAGTAATTTTTTCTTAATTCAGGGCAAAATTACTTGTACCTGATTGGCTTAGACGTAAGCGCAGGAAGTTTCTTGTTTTAAGGGGCCGATTACATGGAGCATTTTCAACCCCGGGGTTGAACTCAGCCCTGTTTACCGGGTTGAAATTTCAGCCCTGTCTGTGATACAAAACTCTATCAAAATCAAACGCGCGATTACATGACAAAATTTTCAACCCAGGGCTGAGTCCGGGGTTGAACTCAGCCCTGGGTTGAAAATTTTGTCATGTAATCGTTTCAACCCAGGGCCGAAATTATCATGAGTTATTCGAGCATGCGTGGTAGTGACTATTTATTACAAGAAAATAAAATAAACTAGGCTTTTTTTACTTCCGCGAATCGATGCCGAGAACGTATAGTATAACGTTTCAACTCCGGGGTTGAAATCGTCCATGTAATCGCAAAAAAATTGAACCTGGTTAACAGGGCTGAGTTCAACCCCGGGGTTGAAAATGCTCCATGTAATCGGCCCCTAAATAGCAATAGAAAAAAAGTAAAATTCACTCTCTGAGTGGCTGTCGTCGCTCAATTTTACGGCAATTTCCATGGGTTTTTCCAAAAAGTCTAGTGTTTTCACTGTTTTGTTTTGTTGTTTTGTTGGGTTTTTTTTGGGGGTGGGGAGGAGTTGTGGGGACGTACATTTCAATTCGTAATTACGGCAAAATCCGGGCCTCAAATTGACCTACCAGATTGCACGATTCGTCAAAACTAATGCTTGCCATATAATAACGAGGGAAACATCGACGGTCGAGGGTCCACAAAACACACTGCTTTCCCGAGGTCTCAGTAAATAAGTGTTTTATTATATATCAATAATAGTCAAAGAAACAACAAATTAAAGAACAAATGAACGTAAATACATGAAATATTTTATTGTTAAAACGTTATATTAAACACTGGCTACACTGCAGTTACTTAAAGCGAAAGTTTTAATTACGTACTAGGCATGTCCAAAGGTCGCATCTTCACGTGATGTCGCACGTGATTTTGTTATTCGCCGGTCGATAACGTATTATCTCCCTCTCGCGCTGTTGCGAGGGAGACAGCCTAATTTCGTCACTCTCACGTGATATGCTCTCAACCAATAAAACACTAGAAAAATGCGACTTTGACTATTGATATATAATAATAATCTTTATTTACCTCTTAAAAGTACTTATCCTTCTTTACAAACAACCCAATGAATTCACATAAAACACCCCCACACGACGTCGAACGTGTTAACTGTTGGCGTGGTTATGAGCCGTGAATATGTAAATAACGTAACAGTTTGAACAACTACGGTGTACTAAAATGCTCGTGCAAGGAGTCAAGGAATACAATTTATAATCTCCTTTGTCTTAAGGCCATGTTCTGGCATAAAGCGATGTTACGTTGAAAAGTACAGTACTAACCGAGAATCAGCAAGCTTAATTTTACTCTGAATGCGTTTTACATACGGCAGAAGTTGCGCTGAAAGATGCAGCAAAAATTGCCTCGTGTGACATGGCGGCCTCTTGAGTTGTATTTCCTTAGCTCACTATTGAATTTGAAAACACAAGTATGGTTAACAGGTGTAACATGCATGTTAACAGACTGGCCATGCGAATTAAGACGAGAAAAAGATATTGGTGTTCAGTTTACGAGGTAAACACTTACCCGTTGTTGTAAGTAAGAGAACCCAAATGTCGCACCAATCTAAAATTTTTCGGAAATCGTCTTCATCATGAATCACACTTTCCTTGGCAATTTCTGGTACATCCACAATGTCCAAAATAGAAGACAAGAGTTCCTGACCGAGACTGTAAACAAAGAAAGGCAAAACAAGAACTGAGTTTAAAAAAACGTTTATCATATATATTTCTGCATATAGACTATTAAAAGAAAGCAAATTTAAAAACGCTTTCTGACAGTTTAATCAGTGGCGAAATATCCGGAGTTTTCGAAAGCACGCTGTCACGTTTCTACCATAGACAAACAAACCCTTCTCTGATGCATTTGGACGTTTTCAGAGATCACAGTGCACGTCTATTTTGCGACAGTCGTGCCCTCTTAAGCTCATACTATTATGATTCCTAGCAACATTCAAATTTCAATCTTCGATTCAATTCTTGTATGAACACATTATAAGGAAATGCTACAAGCCCATGAATGAATGCAAATATAATTATTACAGTATATAGTTTATCAAATTATAAGACATTTTTAACACCATGAAGTAAAAACTAAATAGAAATGAAAACGTTGTACCTGCTGTTTGAACATTCTTTTAGAAACATACTTGACTTCTTTACCACCTTCGGAGCCTGTACCAATATCTTCCTTACATGGGATATGTAGCACTCCTGAACAACGGCCACACATTTCTCTATCCTAACAAAAGTTTGAAGAAAGGAAATAGCGTCTTCATTCCTCAAAAGTCTTTCCGCAGCGTAGGTAGACAAATTTTGAGCAAGAGGTTTATTTGAGATATTGAGAGAACACTGCATAATGGCATCAATCGCCCCATAAACTGCTGCAATCTTATCCGCTCCACCGAGACTGCGGGCTCGCGAGTTGTTGACCATTCTGGTGATTACCCACGATTTACAGATCTCCACCTTTCGTGCGAGTTGCGTTGTACGCCATTGTTGCTCAAACAGCTCCTTACTTAGAATTTCAAGTAATAAATTTTGACGGAGAATAGACTTTGACTTGGAAAGCTCCATGAGTACCGCAAGAACTTGATTCATATCCAGGTATTTTCCAGAAATGATTGATCTTTGAAATATCTCTGCGTATTCGTCATTTAACTCTTCGTCTGACTTGGAGTATTCAAGCAATGTTGAGAACAGAAATTTGTTCGTCCTGCCATGAATCTTCTCCAGAATGTTATAAAATTCAATTAACTTCGCACCTACGCTTTTCTTTTGTGTGCTAGTACCTCGCGTTGTGCCTTGATAGAATTTGACTTTATCATCTTCATTGGTAAAGAACCAGCAGAAGTCGACACTTTCAAATATCTCTGAGGCAGCTTCCAAATTTGGAGCATGGTCTAACACCAAATCTAGTAAGTTTTGGTGGGCAGCCTGGTCATTTCCATTTCTTTTCTTTATATGTGAAAGGAGTGCACAAGCCATTTTCTTGTATTCTTTGACATCATATCTGTAGTTTAGACCTCTACTATTATTTGTATCGATAACAAATTCAATTCCAAGATAGAGATAAAAATGTGTTGCAAGGGTAAGCCATCCTGGAGTATTACTGTTCTCTACCAAAATAACGGCAATCTTCTTCAAACATTTGAGACTTGATGTTGAAAGAAAGTTGCAATCAACGCAGACGTTCAAACATCGAAGCAAGCGATCACACGCTTCAGCCGTCTTGTCATCTTTTGGAAACGGCAGTGGTGACAAAGAGTTTTTCAGGTGACCCAGGGTAATACATAAATACAGTCGCTGTACGTCTGAAACAGAATAGCCTGTAGCATGGTTCACAATCCAATTCACACACTCTTTAACATGTTTTACGCTTAATGTAATGAAGGGCAAACTTTCGATCTGGGTAAGAGTTTCAGAAATACTTGAAGAATGGACGGCTTGCAACAACAACTTCAGGTAAAAGATTATAGCCTTGGGGATAGTCTCACTAAAATACTGTTTGTCTTCTGGAAAACGAAATACATCAAACTGAGCTTGTGACTCTACACGCCTTTCACTAAGCTCTACACAGCATGTGGGATCGTTGTTGCGCATTCCAACGAAAGGAATCTTGATGTCCTGTCCTTTGGTACGAGTGTCGTATTTGTATTTGAATTGGTGTTTGATCGGGTTTCCAGGTAGCATTGCGCTATATCTCCACAGATTAGAATGTCCATGAACAAGTTCCAGTGGTATAACTTCGTCATGACCAAGGTGGATGTTAGTCTGAACAACGGAATAATCTCCAATGATCAAGAGATAGAAATCAACCTGCAATATAAAATTCGTAACCTTGTTAATCCGTGTTATAAAATCAAGGTAGTGAAAAGGCATGGACTCCCTTCGTACACTACTATGTCTCTTAAAGTCCATATTGACATATGATGTATGACGTGCGTAGGGCCAGGTGACAGTGTTAGTTTATTGAACTGTCTGTGCCTGTGTAGATAGTGCAAAAAGTATTAACAAACTTTCATTGGTAGGGATGCAACTACCTGAAGAATATAAGGAGAATATTCAATCTCCTTTTAGGTCAAAATATTAAATGTACAAAATTTACACACGAAATTCCATCTACTAAACTCTTCAACATTATTTCAATCGAGCGAGATGCCCAAATTAAATAATCCTGATATTTAGTGTATTAAACAATTTTTTAGGCAATGAAAGGGAAGTAATAAAAATTAGAGGTTAGGGTGTATTTTATTTATTTAAATAACTTTGTTGATTTCTATTTACAGTACTTACAACTAGTAAAAAGCAGTTAGTGCTGAAACAGAGCATTGCCCCTCTTGAATATGCATGACTACCAGAAAGTGCAAAAAATTACACCATGTTCACCTTTCACGGACGTTGGTAAGAAGATCTCTTAGTAAAACGTTTGAATATAGTTTTGATTTAAACAGGTTATAGTATCACTTTTCTGTGAATTCCACACCCACAGAGTTTTACACTCTGTCCCAAAATTTAAGGCAGTAAAATTATTTACACTATAAGATAAGATTATATGTTGTATATATCGAGAAGTAGGCCAATTCTATCCACTTAATATTCAGCAGGCCTACCCTACGTTTGAAAATGATTTTTGAATATCAGATGTTTCATTCTTCGTTGAACATCTTATGGTAGACGTTTTGGTTAAACAAGGCAGTCAAAATGCCTTGCAAAGTGTTCACACTGGTCCCGGGTAGCAAGATGCATAACCTCTAGTTTTGGCTTCAATAGAGAAAGGGGATGAAGATGCGATAGGGTTGAAAAAAACTTTGGTCGTAGGCCAATTTCGAATCACACCTTGGTTTATACTTTATAGTTAATACTAAGAGCAAGAAAGCCGTTACTTGAACAACACTGTCTGTCCTTTTGAATGTTTTAGTTTAACTTCCTCTCCCCCATCCAAACTACTTTTAAACCTCCAAAAGTTTTCTTTTCGTTTTACTCCCTCAGCATTCCACATATATTCCCTGCTCCCCCTCTGCACGTTTAAGTGACAGGATAAAATTTAAAGGAGAAAGTAAATTTTTCCTCAACAGAGTCGTACAAATGTTCCAATCAATTTTTTAATTAAATGAGAATTTCGCATTTGAACGTTTTTGAGAACACCTAAGTACAACAAGAAGTTAACATATACAGTATATTCTATTATTCAAAGAAAATACAAATTTTTTAATATTTATTTAAAGCAATGTTTCTGGTAGTTTTATTGTCCATCCATCCTGAGACTATTGAGCGCTATTGATGTTGTTCTTTTTCTTTTTCATTGTCTATCTACAGTATAATGCACTGCTGTATATCCAAAAATCTGTTCCAGAAAACGCACGAAATGCAGTCACATGGTTGAAAAAATACAAACCTATTATGGAGGAGAATTCCCCCAGACCCCCTACTACTACATACGTCATTGTTGCACCAACAACCATCTGTCATTCTGCCCTCTCTCCATACTCGATATAGTATGGTCCCTTTCTGTAGACACCCCCCTGTTCCAAAGGACATACTGATTATAAACTAAATTGTTGGGGGACGATTTAACAAGAATTGAAAAAATTTTGAAAATAAAATTCAACCAATCTTGAACTACGAACTTACTAATTGTGGCCGGAATAGCTGAACCGTAACATACTGTATAGTCAAAATCTTGTTATATGTGTTTTTTACCTTTGTTGATTGTGGCCGTAGTAGCCTTGCAACTTCTGAATAATTTCTTTGTGTGTTTCCTAAATCGGGTACAGTGCGAGTATCTCTTCTTTGTCCAAGTTCCGCTAGACCATGCCCTCTTCCAGAAATTCTTGGGCCGCATTCTCCACGTGCAGACGTCACAGGGCCATGTTTCCTTTGCTTTAACTCTGCTTGACTACGATCCCCTTGGATTTGTTTTCTTCCTGTCCGGTAATTTTTCCCTTTCTTTTTCTTTGACTCAGGATTACCGGTTTTTCCATGGCTGATGTGATTATATTTTGGTTTTCTTTGATCTGATTTATACTCAGCCTGACCGCTATCTCCAACTTGGCCATTTCCTATCTGTTTTTCTATGCATGGATTATTTTGCCCATGTACTGCGGCATCATTCTGAGATGTGTGTGCTACCAATCTGTCACCAGAATCTCCTTCCCTGCTCTCTTTCGGTCTCTTTGGTTTAAATGGATGGTCCTGGCCCTCAGCCATTCAACCTAAAATTGCATATCAACAAGTTTGAATAATGCCATCTATTGCTATATACTATGTAACATGTCAAAAACTGGTTAAATTAAACGTGAATTTTATTTGCAATATCAAAGCTCAACAAAGATACAAATATCTGCTCGAATAAATAATTATACAAGTATGAGACCTTCTTAACTATGTCTCTCAACACACTGTGATTTCAATCTAACATGTTTTCTTGCTCACGCTTTCTTACGTGATTTTGTTTTTATATGTTGTATGTTCTATGTTCTATGTTCTACAATGTTCTATGTTCTACAATGTTATATATTATATTATATGTTATTTGTTATATGTTATATGTTAATAAGAAACTTGATATTATTTCTACGAAAGATCATTGCGATTCTGTATACAGACAACTGCAATTTAAGGTGTTCTGTAGCCTTAATTATAGAAATGTACGTCAGCACGTGTTTGTTACTGTCCTAGTGGCTAGACGGCAGCTGTACAAAAGCCTTGCCATTTATATTAGCACTGTTAACCATTAATTTAAAAATCCGACTTAACTCTAGCCTCGCTTCAGAGCGTTATATATATGCCAACTCTCTCATAATTTTTTTCGTTTTGACGGAAGAGAAGAGTTACGCCAAATTTAATTAACTCTCTCATGTTAGTGAAAAGAAAATATTGGGAGAGTTAAGATTAGGTGTTTTCTCCGAAAGAAGTGGATGTTGCTTAAACTTAACTCTACGAATTCCTTAATTTAACTCTCCTATTTAACTCTTCCTGTAATAACTCGCCGTTTAGCAAAAGCGCCCCCTCCCAAAAAGTAACAGTAAATTTGAGATGGTTAAAAAATTTCTGAAAATAGCATCCTCCCTGAAAGAAGCGGCCCACAAGAACAAATAAAACCAACAGTAAGGGGCCACTATTTTCAGGATTTTTCCAGTATAATTAGCCATAAAGTACGCATGGGCTAATGTTTGCAATATGTGTGTGGCCAATACGTTATGATTGGTTTGCAACATCAAACTCTTAATGGTTTGCAAGTGCCATTGCACTAAACATAGGGGCATTGCTTTTAGGCACCAGTAAAGAATGAAAGCATTTAATTGTGCATTTAACATGGACATTCAGTGCACAGCCTTACATAGCGCCTCGTACCCATGCATGAAACGCCAAAATTACATGAAGTACCAATGAAAATGCGCGCATCCATTGCTATGCAAATATTTCATGCAAACAAAACACGCGGTAGGTGCACAGCATTTTTTGATAGGCGGATTTTTGTGAAACACATGTGTAACTGAAAAACTTAGTGAAAATTCTTGCCGATGATTATTGTATAGCTATTGTATAAAAGAACAATTACACAAATATACTATGGTCAAGTTAAGCGTTACTCTGCTTTGAAAACAAGTAAGCACGCTTAAAACTGC